TGAGTGTTGATTAATGCGTAATTTTCGGACATATTTGGACAAATGGCTGACCTTAACATTTTTGAACGGAAATCAACGAAAATGCCGGACATTAGACGGATATTAGACGTAATTTTTTATAAAACTGGCATCACTAATCTGCTACTGCTTTGGGTCGAAAATATTGGCAAAAAAACTGGGAACGCTGTTTTTTCGGAGCTATCCCTGTCTTCACTGAAATTCTCACACTATGTTCAAATTACCCCACGCTCAAAGTTATTTTGCCATATTTAAAAACAGGCTTCAAAAGCAAATTTCTTGGATTGAAGGCACTGATTAGGTCATTGTACAACAAAAGCCGTTGCGTATTAGGCGCTAGCAATGCAAGATTTTGCGCTGCAATGAAGTTGCAATGACGTGTTTTTAGGCGTTTTTACTTGCGAAATGGATTTTTTACAGTGTGCGTCAACATCTTCATTCCCTGAAACTTTAAACCCCATTCATATGATAGCCCTTTTAGTTACGATAATTTCCTTCATTGGTCTCATTGTCATGCCACTTATGGATTTTCCGTAATTTTCTGTTTTTCACACTATGTTCAAATTGCCCCACATGTTCAAATTACCCCACCCTACAGACTGCTTTTACTGCTAAACAGTAAACGGCAGAATGTATAGGTAAGTGTGGTGGCTGTTGGGCATGCCAATGATTATGGAAAATAAGCGATATAGGCTGCCTTTTATTGCTTTTTCATCTTATCTAGATCGAACGTTTCATACGAATTGAAAGCTGGGGTTCAACAGTGCGTATTGCGGAGATCCACGGCCTGTAGTACGGTCAGATCGCTAAATGCCTGTTGACATGAGAAGGTCATGCCAAAGTTAAACGTGCCCACATAGCTGGTCACGTTCTTCAGTGCCAATTGCCAGTAGCCGGGACTATATAATATCACCGACCGCAGGCTATCCCCGCCCGGAACCCTGTACGAGTAATCATGCGGCGCTGAATCTATTCGAACCTGGGCTTACCATCAGGAGATATCAGTCGATTGTTCTTTCACAGGACGAGGACGAGGACAGATACATCACCACAGCTACACGTCATTTAGCCGACTAAAAACTGGCATGGAAGGTAAACATCCATATATTTGATACGTGAGAGGCTTATAAAATATGTAAATGTAAGCCAGCGGAATGATACATGTTTTTACAGCCCATTATTAAATTTTACATGGATCCTATTTTGCCCATAGCCGGAAAGTGAAACATAAAATGTAAATAAAATTTAACAAAATAAAAGTTTTGTGCGATTCTGGCTGGATGTATCGTTTGGCAAAACCCAGCAAAGCATCCAACTGATTAAAGAATCACGGCTGCTGAGCTGGCGGAGTATGGCCGGGGCCTGAGAGGATTTTACGGCAAATGGTGAGTTCCAGGAAGAGGACTGGGGGCTGGTGATGATGCCTGACGACCCGATGCCGTTGGCGCTCCAACTCGGCCTGTGATCGAGCCATTCGGCGTGGTCACCGGTCGGGTCGGGCGGGGCGGCGGGTGGCCGAGCCCGGGACATGGGTCACGGCGGGCGGACCGTGCAGCCAAACCCACCGGCCATCCAGGCCGGTCAGCGGGGTCAGCCGGAGGCCGTAGGAATAATCTGCCGCTGCAAGAGCGAATCGGCGTTTCCGCTAAACTTTGGTTGCTGGATATGCATGAGGTAGCACCAGATCAAGCCAATTCTTGACAGTTGCACGATTAAATGGGGTTTACAGCAATGCCATATGAGTGATATTATTTCTTTTGACTGATTATTTGGTACATAACTGAAGAAGATTCACTTGCTTGAACTCTAAAATTGTTTTCAGGCGACAAAAGACCCTCAAATTTTAGACCAAGCACTTCATCGCTGGATCACACTTTACAAAGAAAATGCTGTCCATTGGATCGGACAATTTTTGCGGAAATCTATCGCTCAGACAGTTCGAACGCACAGCTGTCATGCCCATGGCATTGAGCGGATATTGGATGCACAGACATTTCTGCAAATTGCAGCGATGGTTGATCTGGTCGGATGTGTAGTGGCGGAAATCACCTTTCTCCGTACTTATAATGTTCTTCGAAGCTTCTTGTACTTACCAACCTAAATTTTACTTATTGTGTATGGATAAATTTCCTTTTGACATGACTCGCAGAAAATACTTAAACTACGCATCATTTTTTTTCGCAGTGAAATACGTTGACAGCGCAATTTTATCGACTTATCACCAGGTTTGCGGACTGCGGTCAATAGTCAGATCAGAAGTTCATTTTTTTCTCAAATTAATGAATCCTAGTGTGAAAATGCACATGAAAAAAGAATAAGCGGCATCATACTACCTAAACACATTTCCTTCTCCGGATAATTCAGCTTTTTGTTCAGGAATAAAATTGATAAAATTAAAATATAGTCCTAATATTTACATGGTTTATATAAAATTAGAATAAACTGAATAGGTAAAATGAGAAAAAAAAAACAACAACTAAAAATGAATGAATAACTAGCTAAATAAATAACTTAATAAATAAACATCACGTCTGAAACTGTTAAGGCGGCCCAAGTGTTCGACATCGCAGCCGGCAGTCACGCGTGTTGCGCCAGACCGCCGGGCTTTCGAGCTGCGTCGCCGATAATGCTGGATGACTCCCATAAATCGCCGCTGAATGATTGTTCCTGAAATCAGTTGAACAGTTTTGTTGCCACCGGCGACTGCAAATCACGTTACCGGCACCATTGTAACGATAAAGGCGTCCCCATAAAGCAGCTGGTCCTGTCACCGCACCTTTGGCGGTTATCTACGAACGCTGTCGCCTTCACAGCGCCGAATAATCCAGGCCTTCAGAATGGGATGGATATTATAAAGTTAGACGAATACGTGTATCGGTGTTGCAATGATTAAATGTTCAGTTTATCGCATTGCTTCATATGGCCTAAGCTGATGAAACGGTAGTGATATTTAGTCATCAATTATCTGTTGTCGAAATGTTGTAACATAGACAAATCAGCAAGCAACTGTTCAGTGTCCAGTCATGCAAAGAATGTGAACTCAAAAATCGATACTTTGCAACACGTTTTTACGTTTCATTTCACCACCTCTGTTTCAAGTCGCCAGCGCAGCAGCAACGGCCCCCGGGTTCGTATAGCTGCGACGAACGAGAGCACACCCCGGTCCGCCACAGCTTTCAGCCCACGCTGCAGATGGAATGGATGCTTTTATACGGGTCCGATGCGCCACCTCATATAGCAGCGGCCGGCGAGCTGAAAAGTAGCTGGGAGCATGGCGCACCCGGCTGCAGCTGCTGGTTGTTTTGATCAGAGATAGAGGCGACGTTCGGTCGTCGATAGTGCGTCGGTAATGATATGCTCAGAGGCGCGCCTTTGATGGGTCACGCAGGACTGTGTGGTGTTCCGGCAGGACACGCAAGGTGCGGAACTGTGCGTGACTGGCCAATCAGCAAGTTTCCGCGAAATTATCATGTGAATACTGCTAAGAGATGTGTGAAGGTTTGATTGGAAATACTTTGCCGGGTCTTCTTTGACGGAACTGAGGTATGCGCTGGTTCTGAAAATGCGTGCAATCAGTGAAGGATGGGCTTTCGTTGCCCGGTCGATATTTACCGACTAGGAAGTATCGATTTTCTTCAAAAAGCAGTTTTCTTGATGAAATAACAACGAGAGCCGCTGGCTCTAGTAGGACTACCTTTGCTCAGCTCGGTGAGATGAGATCATTTCAAGAGGTAGCCGTGAAGTTTATTCACCCACGGCCATAAAACAAATCAAACACAAGGCCAGTGGTGGAAAAGGCATCATTCAGAAAAAAATAGCCGCGGAAAGGTTTTGTTCATTTATCATGGAAGATGGAAGACTCCGAATGGGGCAACAGGTAAAAATGGAAGCAAATAGTCATATGGGATCATTAATTGCATTCATGTCGTTTAAAAGTCGTAAAAATGTGCCAGAATCATGACAATGAGTCCGACTTATTTCGATCATCTGGTGTCGCTTTTCAATATTTGAAAATGACCCATGATACCTAACTAAATGGGGTAAAGATATGGAGAGAGCTTTGAATCATTTATTTGAATAACATTTCGCCACATCAAAGGCAAATGTGTTGGGAAGTATCAAGCACCGTTAGTATATTCATTGGATACGAAACATGATGGGTCCACACCAGAAACACGGGATGTTCTCTGGATTTCCCCATCAGTAATACGTCACGTTACCGGCTCCGAGGGCAAGAGAAGCACCAAGCGGTAAAAATACACCTCGTATCAGGCTGAATGTACCGCGATCGCGAGAACGCGTTCGATACGTCCACCGAATGAAATAAATGGGTGACACTGAGCAGCCAGCTGGACTGCCGGCCCAGCGTGGGTGTCAGCGGTGCGTGGAGTACTGCACTGCACTGCCGCTCGGTCACGACTGCAACAACCGCATGCAAGGCTCGCTGCCGACATGTGTCCTCCGCCTGCAGCGGCGCGCGGGGCGACAGACCACCCGACGTCATCCGCAGCGCGACTCACTTCAGTCGCACGGCAGGGGACTGACGGCCAGCTGCGGCAGACGCGGCCCACATGTCACCGCCACTGCCGCCCGTTTCCGCTCCATAGTTGCCAGTTTCCGGCGGTCTAAAGCCGACAGCCGAACGCCGGACAAATTTATGACCCCATGCTTATCTGGCTCAGCGCGGCCTTTTGTCAGCTGCTACAAATTCATAGCAAATTCAGGGTGGTCGCCAGATATGTTCATGTCAAAAGGGCGGATAAATATCAATATCAAGAAGGCCCAAATGAAATATGGCACGATCAATGTCGTGAGTTAGATGTGTATGACGAAATCGCCAATTCGACAAAGGAATATTGTGTTTGGTTATTACTAAATTGATTAAAATGTCTGCCTTAAATGGCGTGATTAACACCATGATACAAATGCCGTGATGATGTGCGTTTGAATATTAAATCTGTGCAATGATGTGTTTTCCTTACCAGTGTCGAATCCAGAAGCAATCCTTGACAGCAATCCGAGCGCCACAGCAAATCCAACGAACTTCATTTCTTTTCTTGTTTGGTCACATTGACACCTAATTACCACTCTCGGCGTACACAAGAAATAAACGGTAACGGACCGCACTTATTACATCCCATAAGTTCGCGAGCGCTATACGCGGTGACTCGCACACCAACAATCCCCTCCTCGGGCCCTCCGGCGCACCGAGACACCCACTGGCGTTTGCGACTCACGTGGGACTCGTATCGACTCACTGGTGACTCATCCCACTCACTTTTGACTCCGCTGAGTCACTAATGACTCCACCCAGTCACACCGACTCCGCTGAGTCACCAGTCTCCTCTCGCACTCGTCTACCGGTGCTCGAACCGGCCCGCTACCCACCGGCACTTGACAGCGCTCGGTTCGTCGGAGGCGACGCGGCGGTCCGTCGACGTCCATCGGCAGCGGCGCCGCTCGGCCAACTAACCGCACCAGACGACCGACGGCGGCGCCGGCGGCGGAAGCGGCCCCCCTGCCTCCCCGCCGCCGCCGCCACCGCCGCCGCTGCTTCTCCTGCAGGGTGTTCGTCTTTAGTGTTCTGCTTCTAAGGCTTCCACCTCTGTCATCCTGGCCGTTTGAGACGGTGCTAGCTTTCGGCTGTGATCTCTCGTCATCATCGCTACGATTGTTTCGATTGGTGCTGTCGCGCGGTTGTAACACAACAGTGTCTATCTCCTTTATCGTTTGTGTGAGTGTCGTCACCACAGCGCCGTCATCGTCATCGTCACACGTCACCGTCATCTCTCCACCGCTACCGCCTAACCGAAGATGGAAGACAGATCAGACCGGTTCAGCCGTGCAGGGGTGAGATACGGGTGCCGTACACTGCCGGAACGCTTGTTGCCCTCCGCCGGAGGCAGCGTGCAACGGCGTGGGCCCTATTTCAATCTGGGATGTATACAGAGTGTGATGGGGAGCTTGGACGATTGGGATATTGGAAGAGCGACGACAGACTATAGTAACGGATAAAATGATTTACTAAATCTTTTGATTTCATCTGCTCCTGGCAGCCACTATTTATTTTTATTTGCATTCGTCAAGCAACTGTCACACATCACTGGACACTCCAACCAAATATAATAAATTCTTGATTAAGTAAATGTGAACGATTTTATTACATTCATTTCGCATATAGCTCCCACCACAGAAAGCTGAGATCAGAGCTGATTACCAGGCGCCGATCGTTTTTCCGTTGACGAGCGGACCAGTCGGCCGCCGGGACGTCAGCCGCCCCCGCGCGGCGCCCATCGCCCGGGGCGGTGTCAGACTGGTGTTGAGGCCCATCTATCCACCGGTCCGTTCGATTATTCAGCCGGCGAGCTGGCGGCACAAATTATGTATGCAATGTCAGCAGAGTGGCGGAATTAACGCCCCCGATCCCACCGTCTCTCTCCCCCTCTCGGCCCTCTCTCCCCGCCGCTCAGTTTCGCCGTCTCCAGAAATGGCTCAGTCGATCTCGTTGGTCCATCCAATCGTATCATGTGACACGTGCCGCGCGCCGTCTGAGGTGTTGCATACATGAATGCCAGTCGCGACTCCGGTCAATTTCAATCAGCTGAGATCAGAGGGGATGTGGGGATGTGATACCCCCCGTGGGTGGCCTCCCCAGTGGATCACTCCCCACCGATCGACCCCCGCTTGATCCGGCCTTAAATGGAGGAGACAGTCCACGCTTCTCACGGGATGCTGAGGGACAAGTGAGAACATATTGTCGGGCCTTTGAAAGCAAAACATGCTGTACGCATATCCAAGAAAGCACATAATGCATACATATCCAATAAATCAGCCTGCTTTGTCCGAGCTCAACGGAACTAGGGATCTTAGGACTGAAGGGGAAAATGACGTTAAAAAAAAAAACGATTACGGAGAAAGGATAGGTAACTTTTTCAATTATGCCAGTCTTCGTTGAATGCTGAGGAGGCTTGAGTGTTTAGTTAGTTCAATTGAAAGTTTTTTTTTGTCCTCCATGCATGAATCTTCAGTTAATAGAGGTTTTTTATGTGACTGATTTTATTGTGACTAATTTCACAAACACACAGAATTCTGCATCTTCGTCTGCTTATTTGATAATCACCTGTTTCCTCTCGGTCAGTTCACCTCTCTCGGGACCGAACCGTAGCGGACCCAGGCGGCACCCTTGGTCTAGCCCGCGCGCAGCTATTTCAGTTGCGACACGCGGGGTAGGCAGACGGCCGGGCCCGGCAGACCGGAGCAGCAGCAGCGTCACAGAGCTGAACCCAGCTGCTGAGAGCGGGCGGGCCCGGCCGGCCGTCTGTGTTGTTGTTGGCCCGCTGCCACCTCTGCAGTGCTCCAAAGGGGAATGCGTCGGACTCGGGGAGGGAAGGGAGGGCGGCCGCCGCCGCGTGCGACGCGCTGGGCCTCTGTGCGACGCGTGGTCTCTGCAGTGTTGTGTCGGACAGACGACGGCTGACGATTGAGGTGGATGAGGGAGGTGGAAAGAGAAGTGAGGGACGAATAGACTAATGTCGGCGGGAGAAGAGACCGAAAATGAGAGGCAAGATACGGGCGGCGAGAGACGAGAGACATGAGCGATGGGGCCAATCATCATCTTCGAACAGTGAGAAAGGAACGATGAGAGCAATAACTGCAGATTGCAAACATATCCCCCATATCAGGCCAATATTTCAGGAACAGCTCTTTTCAACGGCACACCATGCGACATAAAATGAATTTGATAATGAGCATATTTAATTGACCGAATCCTCAATGTAATCTGAATAAAATGACAAATAGCAAAAATTCGGATTTTTGCTATTTGTCATTTTATTCAGATTACATTGAGGATTCGGTCAATTAAATATGCTCATTATCATCACGATGATTTTCCTCACTACGCTAAACTCTCTTAAATAAAATGAATTTGTGACGACAGAAACTGATCCCACCTTTGATGTGGCGTTTTTATAGCGGAGTCAAGGCCCGACGGACATTTTATATCGCTGCCAACCCTTGTGAAATTGCCTCTAACGTCACTCATACCCTATTCGAAATTCGTCGCCGTCTGCCTGTTTGATGGAACAGAAATAAGGCTGATGTATTGGGCCATTTTCACCGATGGCCACCGGCGCGTCCTTCGATGGTTATCACGTTTGGTCGGCTCCCGTGGCCGGTCATGCGGAGAACGATCCTCGTTGAGGTGTGGGTATCGGTCGCCTGCCCTCCCCGCCGATCGGAAGCGGGGGTGGGGACAAACGGACCCGGACGACGACCCGCGGTGGACAGTGAGGATTGATGGTGGCGGTGCAGAGAGGTGCGACATGCAGACCTATGATTGGCTGTTGATATGTTGTTTGTCAATGAAAACATTGACGTGCCTCTATTGCGTTACTAAATATGTAATTGTGCTCCACCAAATATATTAATTATAATGTACACAATATACATAGTTATATTGGTCAACTATATTTGTTACTTGCACTACGTATACTACTTGTTCAGCAAATATCATGTAAAAATCGTATAAAATTTGATTTAAAACCGCCGGGCGTGTAGATCAAAGGTTACATTGACGTAAAACTCTCTGCTACCATATTCAAGTCAATCATGCGAATATTTTGTAACCATTCTCAGTATCTCCTACGAGTCAGTACTTGCGACGGAAATAAGTTAATTCACATTCATTCGATGTTGAACGAGCATAAGGTGCAGATACTATTCTGGGTACAGTTTCAGAAGTCATTGGACCTGTTGATAGATGAAGTCGTATGAGCCACTCTGGAAGGTCTAAAACTGAATTCTTTCATGAGTACGCAGCGTATGCACTTACCAAGATAGAAACGAACGGGTTAGAAATCAGCATTTTATTATCCGTTTCCTTGAAACCCGTTTTTAGCGTCTTAAGGGTAACTACCAGCTGTTATGATTTTGTTTGTAGGTACTGATGACTGAATTTGAGTGTGTGTTTCTGTATTAGCAACAAAATTGTAAGAAGGTACTTACTCATGCAGAGATAATGCACATACATTGAATGAAAAACACCTCTATTTGTTTCTATGCCTACTTATCTTTTTCATTTGCCGACCATGAGACAAGGCCGCGGCACCGAACAAAAGGGATGCCTAAAGATGGCAGCGGCGTGCACCACTCTCCCCCTCTCTCCCTCCCTCTCTCCCTCCCTCTCTCCCACCCTCTCTCTCTCTCTCTCTCCCTCCTCGTCCACGCGTCGTTTCACGACATGCTCGGACCATGTGGTGGTGACGGTGGTGCGTTATTTTTACCACCTCCCGTCTCCCCACGTCGGCCGCCGCATACAACACCGACCGACCCTGTGACGTCACTGCCAGGACAGGGGGCGGGGTAGTTACGTCACCGCCACCCACGACCCATAGTCGTCCAAGTTTGGGACCGTGGGAGCTATTAGAAGTAAGGCGATACTGGAAACTGGAACCAAGCTTAAAATATATTTCCCGTGATGGCTAATTATGATGTTTAAGTTTGGAAATGTTGAAAGCTAATCGGGAACAAACTTGCCCTGATTAAAATGTTTTTATTCCATCCTATATATCTCTTTCTTTCTCTGTTTCATCGTCCTCCCACTATTTCTCTCTTCTTTTTCCTTTTTTCGCTCGTCTTCTCTTCTTAACTTTCTCGCACCATCCCCACCGTCTCTCGACTCGGTCGTCACTCACGAATATCATCTCTGGTCCAGCAGGTTACAGCCAAAGATCGACCGGGCCTTTAGTACCCGCATTAGTCTGGCTAATTTCCGGCCCGGTCTCCCAAGGAGTTCTCGGGCTGTTCTCAGCCGGTCGACTGACACTGGCCGGCAGACGTCTCGACCATTAGTTCCCCGGGGCGGTGCCGTGCCCTCTGACCGGTCCAAATCTAGCACAGACCGAGGGCGGCCGGACCACCTGGCTGACCGGACCAGAACGCGACAGATTAGCCCATTACGACGGGACGACTTGGCTCTCACAGACGTCACCCGCGCCGCCGCCGCCGCCGCCGGCGCGGGGTCTGATGAAATGGATGGTCTTTGCGAACGGAGCTTTTAGCAGACACGCCAGTATCTTTACCGCCAGTATCGGTGTTCATATCACAATATAGATATCCGCAAAAGTCTGTTTGTTTAGTCCCACATTCATTCGCATGCTTTTTATGCATTCATGCGCTTCCCCTTGCCCACTCCTGCTTGCGACATTTTCTTGCTGATCTGTCTTTGGTCGTATGCTTCGTCAACGTATGCCCTTTTATCCTGAAAACAGCCTTCGACTCTTCGCCCCGGATGTGTTGCTATCTGAGCTGCGGCGCTGGCTCCGAGGTGTCTGACCTGGTTTGACAATTCACGCTGCTGATATGTTTAGCTGAGCCACACGGGATGCAGCCCTGAGTGTCGGAAATCCGACAGGAAATTGCTGTATGTAGTGGAGATATGCGAGCTACATCGCCGATTAGACAAGTCCTGTTGTGCGAATATCATCAGTTCAAAGGTGCTGTGCACTGCAGTAATCTCAACAATTATAACATTCTGGTATGGCTGGCTAATTTGGCTGGTCCGGAGTGATGTTTGGGTATGATTTTAACCCGCGCACCGACGGGGGTCTGCGCCAACTTCGCACCGACGGGGGGGGGGGCGGATGACCGCCCCCCCCCTGAGATCTCGAGAACGAAGCAAGATAGCGACAAGCGGTAAACGGCATTGGATACGCATGGTCAAGATCTACAATTTTTACCAAGGTCATTTTCAGGTCAGATCAAAGATGACGTCACAGGGGTCGAAAAAGTCAAAATGGCGGCGCTAGATATGGAGAGAATTTTTCTCGAATAACTTTCGAATTAGTCAAGATAGGAACAAACTAAGGGCATCATCGTGATCCTCTCGTCAATCCACATCGAATGATATATATGTTGACCTCGAAAGGTCAAGGTCAAAGGTTGACCTCAGGTCACGTGACCTCGAGGTCATCATGTATATCATTCGATGCGTCTTGACGAGCTGAACACAATGAGACCATCCACGCGTCTGTATCTTGTTCCTGTGCGGAGTTATTGGCCAAAAACCTTTGGTGATCTTTGATGACGTCACATGACCTCACAGCTGCCCAACAGCAAAACAGACCTCAAGGTAGTGAAGGGTGATCGTATATGAAGTCATGTATGGTATATGGGGCCATTCCGACCCGTTTTAGTGGTAAAAACAGGGAGTTGATTTTTCCCCCATTGACTTATAATGGGGAGGTCGCGAAATTGACCTGACCTTAGGTCACCGATATCAAAATTCTGAGATATACAAATTGTAGCTACTAATGACCTAATAACATCCTGCGACTTTCAAAGGCCTCCGACATCTACTGTAGCTCTGGTACGGTGACAAAGTTGCAAAAAAGTGACTTGAGGTTGGGTCATTCAAAGTGACCTGGTGACCTGACCTTGAAAGGTAGGAGGTTCAAACTTGTACACCATGTGTAAAATTGATGAGGGAATAGTCATACCAAATTTCGCGGCGCTATGCGCCGCGGTTTTCCCGCTATTCGCGAAAAACCTCAGGGGGGGGGGCGGATATCCGCCCCCCCGTCGGTGCGCGGGTTAATGACAATCATTTACAAATACGTTTGCTTCCATTACCATGCATGTGTTGACACACATCCATAAATGAGCATGTCAAGCTTCCTCTCCAGCGCTGTATTTCAGTGCTCCATTTTCTATATTCCCTAATTGGGCGTTGTGTGTCTCGTTTTCGGCGCTCCGGGCGCCTCGTTGTCTGGCCGGCCGGGCTGAGCCCCCTCAGCAGACGGTGACTTCATTATGCTGATCGACAGTGCCCGTCTGTGTGCCAACCTCTTCAGTCGCACGGCTCCTGGGAGAGCTGCGACGGCTCTCAGAAATGGCTCGGATTGCATTGTCGGGGAACGGTATAAAAGGGCTCGGGAGGCGACGGCGAAACTTGGACTGCGTCGGGAGATCGGCCTAATTTTTGTCTACCATTGTGGTAGAATTTGATAGCTTTGATAGTAGCTTCAATGCTTTGTAGTTTATCCTAACACACTTACAACATTTTCGAAATCCATTTGCTATGTGCTAATCAATGTAAATCATAACTTTTATTTGCATGGATATTTACTTACGTAACAAGGTAGTAGCACCAAGGGAGAAGGTCATGCATTTGAGCAAATGAGTTTTCAAAACGAGTAAACTTTTACTCTTGACTGTTAACGCTCCATACATAAGTTACTCATCTAAATACGAGCATACCTACTTATGAATGGCGAGTCAAATATGAATTACTCTCCCCTCATGAGTGGATTTGTTTTCAGTGAAACGACATAAGATTTAGTCTCACGAGCTTTTGGAGTCATTCCATGAAGTACTTCTCCAGATATGGCTTGAATATGAAACACCTCAATTTTAGGCATTCACTGCTTAGTGTTGCAAGCCATATTAATTTACTTCAAAGGAAACATTGCCAAGTTGAGGCGACAGCATCGCTCATTTTCACTCGACAGACCGACTTTAACATTGCGGGTCTGTTCCTAAGCCGCCGTTCAGTTCGGTGCACGCTGTCTCCTTACAAAGCCCGGTCAATATGAAACTCGCGTGTCCCTCTGTCACTAGCGTCACTTCAAAGACGCTACTGTCTTTGATATTGTTCAGCATGTCATGAGACAAAGCAATAACGAACGCTGATGCTGGATTGGACAGTTGTGTTGGCACAAAGTGATTGTCTAATTTCCTATTGGTGTGTCAAACATGTTTGAATATGTTAACGTGGACTGGTAAGTTTTTGCTTTACTCTTCTTGCTTGGAGCACATTACCCAATATACATTCATCCTATAGCAATGCAATTCGCTGCCGTTCCACTGGATACATGTATTTAGTTGAAAGGGGGCTATTTGTCGAGTACCTACATCCTCGTTGTTGTATCTTACGATGCTATCTTTAATCGTATACCTTACAAGGTTTGACTTGGGTTCCCATGGACCTTGGGCTGTATGTGCACGGCTCCGACGCACCGTGTCATTCGCTGATTGGCTGTTCAGCGGCTTACTGCCGTTATCCGTCAGTCGTTATTGTGTTACTGCCAATCGCTGTCACCAGTCAGAACAGTGCGCTTATCGATTGCAATTGGTCTGCGAACTGATTTCTTTTGACGGGTTCTGACGAATAACACCCTCCTCAGAAATGAGAAAAACGCCGGGAGCGAAAGCTGAACGATGCAGATGTCACCTATGATCGCAAGAAAAGACAAAACGGCTCGGTGAATAAAATGGAAGTTCATGTATTGCCTTTGTCAATCGAGGAGCGTTTTTCAGGGAGTTATTGCCTTACGGTCCATCAAAAGTAGTTATCGATAATTTTCACCAGCATTCGCTGTCGTCAGCGTCTGCCGGTTGGTGGCACCACGATACCCGTCTCGGCCTCAATCCAGTCGATAAATTTGCTGACACGTGTGTAGACGGACGGGTACTGCATGTAGCCGCAGGCTACTCCCCAGGAGGTGACCCCGACTAGCGTCCAGGGGCCTGGCATGGCGATCGGCGGACAGGTCAGGCTGCCGCCCGAGTCGCCCCAGCACACGTCGGCGCCGTCTTTCCCCTCGGCACAGGTCATGTTGACGGTGAGGTCGTAGCCGGCCAGCTTGGCGCGGCAGTCGTCCAGCTCCACCAGCGTCATGTTCACCGTCTGAAGGGCTGTCGGGTAGACGGGCTGACCGGTGGTCGGGTCGACGCCGGCGGCGCCCCAGCCGGCCACCGAACAGGAGGCTGCGGACAAACGACGGAGAAAAGTGTCATATGGGGCGAGAGAATGTAGGCAAATAACACAAGGCTTAGGTTAGTCTTACTAATCATTGATTCGATTGCAAAACCTTACAATCACTATGGGCCGGAATTCGAAGTGAATCCACTCCGATTCACATTTATTCCCTCATCCGCCGACCCTGGTGACATTCAAACTCGGCCGGAACACCACTGCGATCGGTCGCTCCGCCAACTTGGTCATCAGATTAGGGTGTGGCGGAGTTGGTCTGTGTCGGCAGCGGACCGATATGAGACCTCTGAGCTCGTTAGGAGACTCGTGCCAACTGGTTCCCGCAGCGGGGCGATAGGTGAGCGTTTGATTAGACACCTCTGCGTCCAGGTCAATGGGGCAAAGGTTGCGGATGGCCTAAGGTCAGAGCTCATGAATGGATGCCCCGGGAGTTGACTGCCCATGACTGCAAAACGAGCTCTGGGTTTCTCTTCCTTCCGTGACGGATTCAGAGCCGGGCTAGAGCCCACATTCCTCCAAGACACAACACTTTGGCGGTTAATGGAAATAATTTTGAATGTTTTCGTTAGTTACTGCCATACATTATCCACACTTACGAATTCCCCGAGCTAGATCATCCACGCAATCACACAGGAAATCGATATGAATGAGACCTCTCTTGGAGTGTGCTTACTGAAGCCGGCGTCACTACGCGACAGGCCGATGGCGGCCACTCTCTCGTTGAACTCTGCAGGCTCATCCAGCTCGATCAGAGCGATGTCGTTCGGCAGCGCTGTCCTGAAACGCATCAAACTCCAGCTCAACAGCGACCAAAGAAATGCTCACGGGATGCTCACTCTTGCATCTTGCGATTTCTTTTTACGATTATTACGATAATTACGAGGACGTACCCTTTCTTATTAAGAAAATATTAATAGCTACCAAGAAAACAAATAGGGAAAAGTTTCATGCAGTCTGCAGATGACATGGGTGTTTGCTAGTTTGCAGCGAGTTGTCATTTGCAGACTACGCCTGTCGAAACACTAACCGTGTGCTGAAGTCGGGCTCGATGATGACCCTCTTGATGGCGCGGATTTGCTCAAACTCATCGTGCGCCGCTACGTCATGCTCTCCTATGACTAGCTGAAACACACCGATTGAGTAATGAGCACGAGCAGCTGAACTGATACCTAACTAATGAGCAACTGGGTCACGCAGGGCTCAACTATGCAATGTCTGCAATGCTGATCTCTACATCAGGCAGACTGCATTCTACAACCACTTATGTACAAACGTTACCTCTCAGTGGTTCTTCTATATGTGTGATATCATCTGATTATGTTAAATATATACATTTAACGATTTGCAGCACCGTCCTTTATTGGTGCTATTCCAGCCTGATGAATGACCTTCAAACTTTGCTGACATTTCTCAAACTTTTACTCACGCCCCGGACAACAGACAGCAGAGGAAAGTTTTAACGAAAGGCTAGAGCTCATCGAATGTTTTGCTGCAACGTAGTTCGGATCAAGACAGAATATATAGAGTATGGACACAAAACAACTTGTGATGGCATTAGGACAAGGCGAGGGCAAAACTAAATTGCACATGATCAGAATCATACACTTATTCTTGAGGATGCTATTTTTATCGATGCTGTCTGCTATTTCCAATGTTTGAGCTCGTCCCGAGGAGTCTAATATGTGTTGCTATATATGTGTGCTGCTAATTTTGGCAAAACGGTCGAGGTCGGAACCGAAAGGCTAATATATAACTCTTGTTCCTGTGAGCTACTCTTGTTCTGTTGGGCTGATGCTTCGCTGACTTGTCCATATGGGCTGATAAATGGCAGTTTTGTTCGTGTTGCCTCTTTTATCTCACTTCTTTTTTTCGGCACCATTTTTAGATGCTTCTCGTAAACCTATGGATTTAAGATAACTAATCATTAACACAAATATTAAGAGTGATTATCGCAGAAGGTGTGACATAAAACTCGTTCGTTTTGCAATGCTCAACTCAATTGTTTGACATCATTTTTAGACACAATGCAATTGTGGTCAAGCTTTGAAGATAGAAAACTTATAAAAATGGCTCTGTCGGCCGTTCTTCTCACCCTGAGGTCCTCTGGCGCGATGGTGGACACGCAGTGAGCAGCCGTCACCAGCCACTTTGGGTCGATCAGCGAGCCGCCGCACTTGCTCTGGCCAGTGTCAATCATCTGAATGTCGGCCAGCCACGGAAACTGACCTGCAAATACAACGGAGAACGGATCAGTCATTTTGTGGGAGAGGAACACATCAGAGTGTAATCGGGAGAGTAGAATATAGCTTATTGTGGCCGGTATTTTCTCACTGATTTGACATTGACCTAAGACCTTGACCTCACCTATGCTTGATGTACTTCAGGGACTTTTCAGCATGCTCTTATAAGTTTGTCTCCTCGAAAGTTCCTGTTGTCACTTACCCTTTCTACTACCATCCATTTACAAGTTGTGCGCACAGCAAGACAGATATTAGCCGGAAATGTTTTTAGCTCCTTGCCTCTTAACTTTCTGTCCGCTTAATTGGTTTATGCTCCAACTAACACTGCTTGAAGGAAGGCGGGTAATAAAGCAATCCCCGCATTACGAAAGCATGCAGTGCCAAAATGCAGTGGGTATATGGGTATTTATTAGCGTTTTATGTGATATGATTGGGTAGAATGTACAGTACTACGTTTTTCATGATAAGTCGGCGTGTCTCGCTTATCAATAACTTTATATCAAAAGCCTGACGTCGTATTGCTCACCCCCAGCCCCTTCCACTTTACCGCTACTCGTCTACAAAGTAAGACTAATTTCATATCATTAATAAGTCAGAAGTGAAATCAAATAGGACCTACTAAAACTCATGAAAAAAATGCCGGAAACCGAGCTTAATTTGAAAGTAGAAACAATCCCCCTGCAGTTTTTACCGAGTTTGATCCATTAAATGGTTTGGAGAGGAATCGACAAACCACAATAATGTCACATACATTATGCCTGAAACATCAAGCACCTTAAATGGGCATTTGAAACTGGTGTATTAACCCGCGCCCGGCTGGGGGTCCTGGATTTCCACGCCCTGCTGGGGGGGGGGGGGGTGTTTGAACACCCCCCTTCTAACTCGGCTCCTGGGCCACGTAGCGATACGCGGAAGGCGGCGTTCGAAAGAGCGTAAAAAATAATGAGGAAATCACTTCGGTCAATTTTTTGGTCAGGTCAAAGGTCAGGTCACCAGAGGTCATTGAAGGCAAAATTTCGCCGATTTCCAGGTCGAATGTCGACAATTTCCAAGAAGCCAGCGCATAACTCGGGAACCAATAGAGCTACAGCGCCGCGGAAAAGCGCATTCGATAGCCCTATTAACGCCCTCTCTGAGTAATTCTCTCAGATTTGACCTAACGTCAACGGTTTTGCCTGCAGGGGGCAAAAACTACAAAAATAGCCGATTTTTTCGGAAACAGTTTTTCTGCAATAACTTTTGACCCAAGCCTTGTACGAGCTTACTTTTACCGGCATCGTGTTCCTCTCGTCAAGACGCATCGAATGAACTATAACTTGACCTTAAAAGGTCAACTTGAAAATTTGACCTCAGGTCAAGGTCATGACCTGACCGGAAAGGGTCATGATGCATACCAGTCGATCCGTATCGTCGAGCTGAACACATCTAAGGCGTTTTCATCGCTCTAGCATGCCTCTATCAAAAGTTATTTGCGAAAAACTGTTAGATACCATTCGTGACCTAAGCTGACCTCAGGGCATAAACAGGGGTCACGGACACCATTTTCATGTTCAGTTTGTCTAAACCACTTGTAATTCAGTGTTTGGGAGTGTTTATAATGTCTTTCGTCCAAAAGAGGCGCATTTCAATTTTCTCCCATTGACTTATAATGGGGAGGTCGCAAAATTGACCTGACCTTAGGTCATCGATATCAAAATTCTGAGATAAACATTTTGTACATGCTATTGCTCTTAGCAATCGCTGAAAGTTTCAAAGTGATCGGTCACTCGGTGTAGCTATGACAAACATCGAAACTTTTTATGAGGTGAGGTCACTTCAAGTGACCTGGTGACCTGACCTTGAATGACCTTGGTCTGAAATTTTCACAACATGTGTAGAATTGATGTATGATAAGGTGTACCAAAAACGGCGGCGCTCCGCGCCGCCGTTTTTTAGATATTCGCGAAAAACCACAAGGGGGGGGGTGTTCAAACACCCCCACAGCAGGGCGCGGGTTAATATGCTGATGCCAAAAAATACCGACTAAAATTGCCAATTCATAGGCCGCAATGGTACTAATTGCCACGGTGACTATAACTAATTGCTGCAATGTTGATTTTGTCAATATACAGCCCTTATACGTAAAAAGTAGGAAATCTTTTGGAATTTGAAGTAACGCTTCTCGACTTGAACTGAGTTATTGGATTGCCCGTCATTTATTGACCGTATGACGTGATGAAAATGATAAATTGCTGAGAATCAGATGCCAATGGACAAGTTCAGCATAGGTCAAACAGTGGGGAGGGGTGAGTGTCTGACCCGTTCAGGAGCTTGCTGCGAATCTCAGTCACCTATGGTCCGATTATCTCACAATACCAAGGATTTCAACGATGATAGCTGAAAAGAAGAGCGTGGCGTGACGGGTGCCTTATAGCATGGAGTTAGTAAATGCTCAGAAGAGTTATCAGTTTTCTGTGTCAGTATTCGCTGAATCGGTCCGATTCCCATAGCAATCACGACTCAGTGGCGCTGCATGTTTCCCATTGTTAGTGTGTGTTATAAGAACTGGACCACCTTTATATATTCCGGGGACTACCTTGGTATTCTAAGTGAGTGCTAAAAGCAGCGCCGTGCATGCTAGTGGCAGACCATATTATGTGAGTGTTCAATTAAGGATTGTCTGGGATAGGTTGATATCGAACGATAAAAAACTCTGCAAAATGGTAATAGACAAGATAGCATAGCTCAATATCTATTGGAGTTAGTTTTTTAACTTTTATCTGAGCTTTAAGCATGATAACGGCACTGTTCCAGAAGCCTGCGAATCAAATCCAAATGTTGACATGTTGGTTCTCCGATAAATGCATTTTGTTCAGAGGCCTGTTTCACTAAAAACTTGCGATTACAAGTGTTTGAACTTTACAATTCATAAGTATTTTTGCAAACTATGTAAAATCGGATTTCACTAAAATTCATCACCAGCGGCACCTCCGATAAAAAGAGTTGGTAAATAAACTTGTAAACAGTAAAATTGTTTTTGATCAAGAACTATAACATGTTACAGATATTGCTTCTTTTTATCAAACTATGTCTAGTATTCATGTCAGAAATTGCAGGAATAAATTAAAAATAATGATGCTCTTTCTAAATGGTATAAATGATAGTTCACAATATCTTATTATTGAAAGAAAATAACACGTAAAACATTTGACAGCAGAAGACTGTTGAATGCAATTATGGCGCGCGAATGACAAAACATGACGATATTTATTTATTGCTTGTAGCTGGTTCGTAGGGAATGTGCTAAGTGAAAAAGAGCATGTAATGACTCGGCATATCATATTTGTTTTAAATAATTGATTGCTTTGCATCATTGCACAAAAAGTGATAAAATTCCAAACGTAAGGGCCACTGGAATTTCGGGTTTGTAAGTACAACGTTTTCTTTCAAGTTTTTGGTCTTCGTGAAACAGAGAGTTTGCGATTTCGATGTTTCTTACAAACTTTTTTCTTGTAAAAAAGTTGGTAAATTTTAAACTCAAAATTCATGCCCCAAGGTTTCGTGAAATCCAAATTTCAAATATTGGTAATTATTTCTTTTAAACTCAAGTTTTTTCTTTGTAATTACACACTTTATTTGTTAGTGAAACAGGCCTCAGATTTTAAAAGGATACACCTTGCATAAAAAGATGGATTCTAATACTGGTACAGCCATACCCGTACATACCTGTCATGTTGCATTATCGAACCATCCAGACAGTTGTAAATAACATAAGATAGATAACTTCATCAGACAGTCAATCAGCTCTCGTGATTGGTGCAATCGCCTATGTCAACATTTGAATTACGGGCGTCATATTTCAGTCGCCGGTTCGGTAATGAAACCGCCCAGCCGGGCTCCACGACACTCACTGGCCGGCCTGGAGACGCCCGGGATGGTGACGTCACAGAGTTCATTGCGTCATATTAGACGATCAGTCTCTGCGGATCTGCATGCGACGCTGATGCGCTCATCGATCGCGGCTCAGCCGGCTCATACCGCTCTCATCTCACATTGGTGATTTGGAAGACATATAATTCTACTACGGTCATGACACAAGGCGTGCGGCCCCGATGGGCTCAGTGCTAGAATTTTGCACGAGTGTGCGGTGGAATTGGCAACCCCTCTGGAGATCATTTGTTCTGTTTCTGTCAGGTCAGGGGTATTTCCTGCGGCCTGGAAACAGGCTAACGTGATTCCCGTCTATAAGAAGGGCTCCAGAAAGAGTCCCGACAACTATAGGCCTGTGTCGCTGTTACCGATCTGTGGAAAGATTTTGGAAAAGGTGGTTTCGGAGAGCTTGTTACCCGCGTGCTTACCTGCCCTGCCATCCTCCCAACACGGCTTCCTTCCAAACCGATCCTGCGTCTCCAACCTATCCTGTTTCCTTGATCACTGCTGGTCCTCGATTGCGAGAGGAAAGCAGACTGACGCAGTCTATACTGACTACTCTTCAGCTTTCACAAGCGTGAACCACACCCTACTCCTGCACAAGCTGCATCACTCCTTTGGCATATCTGGTGTCGCCTATGACTGGCTCTGCTCCTATCTCAGGAACCGGACACAGCGAGTAGTCCTCAATGGGAAACGCTCACAGTGGATTCCTGTCCAGTCGGGCGTCCCAGAGGGCAGCATCCTGGGCCCCTTACTGTTTGCGTGCTATGTGGCCGATATACCTCACCACATTGAGACCAACTGCATTGCTTATGCTGATGATCTCAAGCTTTACCACCGCATCAGCAGTCCCGCCGATGTCCTTTCCCTGCAGGCTGACCTTGACCGCCTCCACCTCTGGTCGAACACGTGGAGACTTCGTCTTAACCCATCTAAGTGTAAATTCATTTCTTTTACCCTTCGTACGTCACCTGTTGACGCTGTGTACAACTTGGATGGCCATTCGCTTGAAAGGTGTAGTCAGATCCGTGATCTAGGCGTAATATTAGACTCCAAGCTCACGTTTTGTCATCATGTCGATTACACCATGTCAAAGGCTAATCGGATGCTTGGGCTTCTCATGAGGAGCATGCAGATGCCGGACTGTCCTCGTGCGGCACGCTTCGAGTACAAAGCGATGTTGAGCGTTTTTAACGCGCATGTCAGGTCCGTCCTCCAGTACGGTAGCGTGGTTTGGAGTGGGGCCGCCGTAACCCATCTTGCACGATTGGAACGGCTACAGCACCGCTTCCTTATGTGGCTAGCGGCGAAGACCCAGAGACGCTGTCCCTCTCTAGACTATCGTGCCTTACTGCAGCATTTTAACACTGATTCCATTAAAGCTCGCCTCGTTCATGCCGATATCATGTTATTGTACAGTGTGCTTCACCATCGTATTGACAGTGCTCACCTGGTCTCCATGTTTGGTTTGAGTGTACCGGGGAGGCGCAACCGTCGCACCGGCCTTTTTCACATTCCATTCGGGAGAGTGAGCACTGTTAAGAACAGCTTGACCGCGCGCATCCCTCTTGTGTGCAACGAATTCCTGACGCATAGTCCCTCCGTAGACTTTTACCACCCGTCTGCATCATTTCGGAGTGAGGCTTTGACGTACGCCCGTACTCTGGGCAGCTACATTGGCTGATTGAATACCTACACTACAGCCTCTGTTTTCAGTTTTATGCATGTGTTCGTGCATTTTGTCGATTGCCTTTTTAGTTATGTGACTGCATCCGTAAGTGGGCTCTTTGTGCCTGTGGGTGTCTTGGTGATAATAAACAAATAAACAGACACATCATTCAACTACTACGGTCATGACGGCCGAATTGGGACGATAACAAAATATCTACGTAATAAAGCGGTGCATACGCTATTATCGTGAGGACTGAGGACTCTCCGTAGACAGTGTACTTACCTTTAATTAATGTGCATGGAGAAAAAATAGCCGTTTTCACGACGGCCACGTGGTACACATTTGGTGCACATCTGGTGCAGATTAGGTGCAGATTTGGTCAAATTAGGTTCAGTGTGTATCAGCTAGGGTTGCACTATTTGCTTATATGCCTGCTTTGTCATATTATCAGAGAGTATCATCGATTAAAACACTGAAATAAAATCATGAAATAAAGATATCTGCTGTAAAAGAGATTAGGTGCAAATTTGGCCAAATTAGGTGCACTCGCCGGATAGCCCGTCGTGAAAACGGCTAATATCTATCAATGCACTTCCGATATGACTAATATGCAGAAATTTAGCACTTTCGTAAACATAACTTTGCGGTCACCTTATTATATAAAAAGAGGTGAACCGGATGACGTCGATCGTCGGTCCGATTACAGCTGTCTCACTAACGTCTAAATTGATGCTGTATCGACGACTTCGACAAACTGCTAGATGATTTGTGCTGTGTCACCATGCCTGATCAATCTTCAAACTTCTGTTTCTAAGGCGGCTGCATTCTGGGATGTGTCATACTGTCACTCAATGCTTCTGTTCGCCAGTGAACGGAAATAGTTACGTCACCTTTTTGAGATAGCTATCATTGCGACATCAATACATCAGTGTTCCCAAGTGTTTGGTGGAAAGTCAACCAAGTGCTTGAGACTTCAACAGGCGTAAAGTAAATAAAAGTTAACTCGCGAAGTTTGTTTCATTATGCAGGAAATGAGATTTCTAGAAGTACCACTGTCGAAATTGTAATTAGGACGTCGCTGCCCTTATTTCACAAGTAGATAGCACTCATTCAGAAGCTCCTAAGGGGCTATCAAATGTCTATCTGACTTCTGTAAGAGATTGTGAGGGTATGCTTGATATCACGACGATTGAGGCCTCAGCATGCCTGATAACTCGTACTGTTATCTAAGCTAGCGGCGTGGCGTGTTTCCGGACATCGCATGACTTCTTCCTGTGGCCCGGATCTATGTGGCTGCTCATTTTTTCAGCACACTTTATATACCTGATGTGCTTATAATAGTGGCTAGTATACAGTAATGGTTACTTTTAATGCGTATTGTCTCATGCTGAGCTAGAAGGAGGGCGTCACTTATCGCAATGGGCGTCATTTTCCGAAAATGATTGGTAGGGTTCTGCCGGATAATTTCAGGATACCAAAGCCGTTCTTACTTCTTACTATACAGTACCATAGGGTTAATGTTGAAATTGTGGAATTATTGGTAGAGCTCAGGCCCTACTAAGCCGATACCTACAAAACGACACCCATGCTTATCGTAACAAACTCATTAACGTGTCTGTCGGTGCAGGTAATCAATTATCTATTTTGCTGCTTGACAGCGCTCAAGTTAGCACCTATCAAACACCATTTGACCCAGCCTCCAAGGTCTGTCGAGTATCATCAGTTATGCCAACTCATCAGGTCGTGTCAAGCAGGATGCGCTCTGCCCCTGTCCCTGACCTGGGTCGACGTTGTTGTTTTCCCGCTCTGCCCCTGTCCAACTGACCTGGGTCGACGTTGTTGTTTTCCCGCTCTGCCCCTGTCCAACTGACCTGGGTCGACGTTGTTGTTTTCCCGCTCTGCCCCTGTCCAACTGACCTGGGTCGGCGCTGCTGTTTTCCCCTCTGTCCCTATCAAACTGTTTCGTTTCCCGCTCTGCCCCTGTCCAACTGACCTGGGTCGGCGCTGCTGTTTTCCCGCTCTGCCCCTGCCCAACTGTGTCGTTTCCCGCTCTGCCCCTGTCCAACTGACCTGGGTCGGCGTTGCTGTTTTCCCGCTCTGCCCCTGTGCAACTGACCTGGGTCAGCGTTGCCTCCGTTCATGATGCCCAGCTGGTGCGTTGGGTGCCTGCGGCTGCTGTGGTACATGTTGCCCGGTACCCGGATGGCCTTATCAGGCAGCTGGCCGGGTGGTCGGAGGTCGGTGGGCACCTCTTGTGCCGGCACCGGGTCGTGCACGGTGGCCACTGCGGCAGACAGCGCGAGGGGTGTTAGTTGCTGCTCTCTCTCTGGTGCTGAAAGCACTGCAGTGGGAGAAGGAGCCAGTGGTCTTACTGAAAGTTCAGAAGAGCAAATTGCGGTGATGTCGCTGGATATTTTTGGCCATCCGGTGGCAGCGATTGAGTGATTTACTACAAACTCGCCTAGAAGCTTGAAACCTGTTACTCACTCGGAGACCCCTGTACAGCTTAAAAACATGCTGTAAATGTTGTGGATATATGAGCTCAATCCTTCTTTTATTGAGATGTGGAAAGTCTTTTTAAAAGTAAATCCTTCAAGTTCCGTTAACTGAACCACACAACTCTTGAGTTTTGACTGTTAAGAAATGGTTGAAAAAAGTTTCAATTCCGAACGCATAGGTCTCTGTCCCGAATTTTACAGCGGGGACTTCCAGAAGTCAGAACATGATGAAATGGAACTGAAAGGCCGAGTGACAGGTAGGATACTACTCGTATTCACAAAGCTCATTATCCACTTCAGGGAAAGCGTTCTTGTTCAAACTCACCTGTGTATACCATCCCGGCAATGATGAAGAGAAGAATAACCATGGCGAAACTTCGCAGTGCCAGCTTCCTGTAATAGTACTGCAACAAACGAAGGACGCAATTATCCTACACGCCTCCGGAGCTCATCCCAGCAGCGGAGCCTCGCGCTGAGAAGCGCTCATCGCTCTACGCTCACTGCGCGCCGACTGCCCGCACATTCACAGCTGCACAATTCACAGAAGACCGTCCCGACCTTAACACTGGAGGCCGTCACCTGCATCTCAGGTCGGTGTTCCCATAGAGATGCCGCACTTGCTCTGCTATGTGAAATACTGATATGGATTCTATCTCTGTGCACTTTTTATGCTTCCGACAATACGTCAACGCAAGCATAAGCATGCCTACTCATGGTCTGATTGAAGGCCTGTCTGGTCTCTGGAGAAAAGAATGCGACATTCGGTGACACTCGCTCACCTGTTTGGTGTGGACCTTGGGCTCCTGCTCGGCGGCGGTACCGGTCGGTACCAGCGTGTACCGCTCCCTGCCCGACTGCCGCTCGGCCTGCTCCCCGCTCGCTGATGGCGCCATCACCTCCGGTCTGCTCGCGCCGTGTCAGGTGCTGCGGTCCCGTCACACCCCACGAAGAGCTCCTGTCTCACGCTGTACCGGCACCTGCTCACGTGTGACACTGCGAGCCTGTCCGCCTTCTCGCTATCGCTCCGGCCGAGAGCGGCGCCCGATAGCGGCCGTCGCGAGGGCGCCAGGAGCCGCTCGCGTGCCTTTCCGGTGACTGAGGTCATCTGAGGTGTGGAGGCGTGCGTACACGGAACACAAGGTCCAGAGGGTGACCGGGGTGCAGGAGGTCATGGGGGAGGGGCACACGTGTATGCACTATGCAAGTACAGAGGGTGTGCTGGGGTACGGAAGTCTGCATAAAGGAGAGGAGTGCAAAGAGCCCAAGGCCCAGAGGGGTGACCACTGACCAAGTGACCACACACTATGTAGATCCTGATGTTGAGGGTGATGCGACGAATGGTTGCTAAGGCCCAGATGGTTGGTTTGCGGCTACAAAGGCTTGCAAGAAGTTGTACTATAATCATTGGTACACAATAGACCCATGGCTTCGTGACTAACCCCGCGACTTACAAAGTTAATAAGGAATTGACAGTAACTGATAATTAGAGCATAGTAAGTTCATCTCGGATGTATCTAATGCGCAAGAGCCTCATGCTTGGTTAAATGCACTTTTCTTAGCTGAGCTATCGTAATTCGTAAAGCACGTAGAGGTTCACGGCACGTGTTTGTCCTTCACCAATAGCGGAGGCTTGCAACGGATGTGTCGGCGTCCGACCAGAGTCGATTTGTAATTGTATGACGTCATACATCCGCGCAAGGAAGGCATTCTGCTGTGTTTTCCTGTGTGCCGTACGCTAACAAACCCGTTATTTTATCACGCGGTGGCAAACACACCGCCCGGCGGCTGCGTTGGGCTCTATGGCATGGGCGTTGATTTCGGTCTTCATGAGTTGCTATGCATAGTTTGGGTACGGTTCAGTACCTTATCACACATGCGTCATCTCATGGGTGTCAAAGCACTTGGATATGACATGTTTTAGCTTCGTGCTCTTATCATGTGCGTTATCAAAATTGCCACCTCTCGGCTGGAGTATCCGATGATTTTCGACCTCTGACGTTAGGTACTATCACTCGACATGACATATCAAAACTGTAAATAGGTATACGGAGACAGCTAGTGTGGAAACGAGGTCTACTCCCTTTAAACTCTACAACATTCGTGCTGTTATGGTATGGAAACGAGCACCACATACGACCGTTCCGTGCTTCTATCCTCAGGATACTGAAATCTTTCTCCTCCACGCCGCAACCTCCCTCCGGGCTGGACAGGCAACTTTATCTCATGCGGGCTGCTCCCTTGGAGCGGCACCGCTGCTCCCGAGGGAGCGCACCCCGTAGCCGGGTGCAGTGAGTGCCTTGGGGCTGGGTGGCCTGTCCTCTGTACGGGCTCAGCCCCGGCGACTCACTAGGGTGCCTGCCCAGACCAATGTCTCCCCCTATATCCTATCATCCTCCCGGCTCTGAAATGGTCTCATTGGACCGAAAGGGCCTAACCCAACAAAACAAACAAACAGCACCACATTCTGGTGTGTTCCCATAGCACAGCATCTATGCTGGTAACTGATGCGACCATGGGCGTCGTCTCCTTATGCTGCTAATTCACGATCTCAGGAGTCATGATTAAAAACTTCTGCTGGTGAGACGTGAGACTGCTGGCGCAACTCTGTCTTCAGAAAAAGAAAGGAAACCCCTCCTGCTCCTATGAGCGATATCTATACCAGTGATGATGGGTGACCGCAGAGGGCCGCCTCCTCATTCGGTAAGTTGTGAGTTGTGGCCAAAGGCGTCACCACCGCTGGCGCCCCTGCCGGCGCGGTGGCGCCACCTCTGGAGGGACGCAATGGTGGCACCACCGTCACCACCGCCGCGTTGGCGCCCCCGCCACGGTGGCACCACCTCTGCAACGCAGTGGGCAGTGGTGGCACCATCGACGACAATCGATGAAATAGTGCCATCCATAGTGCTTGCAGACGTACGAAATCCTTTGATGTGGTTTCTCACACTTTGAAGCTCAGTTTTAGTGTTGCAGTGGGACCTAAACTAACTAATCCTCCATGCGCTGTTTTATCACCGTTTACACGCATTGATATTCATCGCCTAAACTCCATCCCGGGGTACCTAATTTTTCGACAATAGGAATGTATTTTACACACAACATTGATATAATCAGTTCCGATCTCACAATACCGCGACAACGCATGGGCACTGTGATGCAGGAAACCTCGCCCTACCACCCATCGCCCATGACGACCCATTTATTCCACATTGTAAAACTTCTGTCGGAAGGACATAATTGCCATATGAATGCAAACTGTGGCGGTAAGCGCATTAGCCTTCTCAAGGAGCAAAATTATAGGTACACCTGTTACTTATCTATAATTAATGTCTTTTGATGGTTTGCCAAAATCAGGGTTGAAAGGATTTTGATGAAGCATCGCTGCTGAATACATTTTGTAGTTGCTGTATGCCCCAAATTTTCATTATTAGGAGATATGTACTACTTTAGAGCAGCGACAGCGGCTTACACATCATTTCATTTCATTGCACTCAATTCATAAGATACCTAAATCTGATACAGTGCGCCATCTTTAATACTTCCCTATGCATGTACCTATATTATCATGTTCCCATGTACGGTGTGCTTCCTCAGGCCAAACGATACCAATTCATTTTGTTTGATTATTTATGCATACTCAGCAATGAGCAATATTCAAACTCGCAAGAAATCACTTACACGCATATTCATCATAATCATGACACTTCGATACACAAGTCTGAATCAATACCACATCCATTTTCGATATTAATGATTATAAAGACTTCATATGCATCAACATGCCTACATCGGCATTCGAAGTGACACCGACAAGCTGTTCATTTAGCTGTAAAGTGGTGCCAAACGTGGGTGAAAAAGATCAGTTTTGACCTTCCATAAGAAGCAAACGCGTAAAAATAAATCCTTTGGTATCTTATATCTAGAATCTAGATATATGTCCCTAAACGCTCGTGACAGAAAATGCTTAGTAGGCGAGGTGCATCCAGCACTCATAACGGGCCGCAGCGATATCAAGACATCGTCACATTAATGGACGTCGATAGAATATCGACAATCACAGTCATCGGTTTCACAGTGCAAGCAGAGCAGCAATTGCCTCCACCCGAAACCTGGAACATACGCTACGGCAAATCATGCTCTGCTTTCCTCATGGGATGTTTCCCTAGCCTAAGCGAATGTCTTTCAAACCATACCTGAAGCACCGCTCATCTCACTATACCTTACCCCTCTTTAAATTTTCACATCTTTGCGTACCTATATCAGTTCTTTACCACATCGATTTCACGTGTCCCCTCCCTTCGACATCCTCCTCCATCCATTGATGCAAACATCGAATCACCAATCCCCATAACACCTCCTTCGCCGCACCGTTTACAGTATCACAAGTTCACTAGTCGCCACTAGATGGCACCACTAACACGTGCACGCTCACTACGGCTCGATATGACTAGTTGCGATCGGCGACTAATCGGCGACGATCTCGACTGTTGCCGAGAGGTCGCTTCCGTGACAACAGCGGATCTCCCACTGCGCGTTCGGGTTGGCGCGGTAGCAGTCCAGCAAGGAGGCGTCGTGGTCGATCCGACGGTATCCTACGAACAAAACATGGGTGAGGTGAGCGAAATCGAAATAAGAATGCTATCGAAGGCATCATGTGCGAAAGACACGCTGCCTTGGAAAGGGTTCTAAATGTTCTAAATGCCACAAAACTTTGAGAATGGCGACCACGGGCTCAAGTTGAAATCAATTGCAGTCAAAGATACTCACGAAGCAAGTCACATCCTGCGATTTAGGTACCGCTTCTCCCCACGTGCAGCATAAAGATAAAAGAGCAACAACACCGGCCAGCCACATAAACCTGAACCGTTTCCGAGCTGCGTGTGGTTCACATACCTATGTTGCCGCCGTGTTCGAAGAGGAAATGGGCGCTGAGCACGCTGCCCGCTCCGGTGTCGGACTTGAGGCAGGCGGCGACCCCGCTCGGGGTCGGCCCGTCGCCCTGTCGATGGGAGCCCCGCCTTCCCTGGATGCGGTCCTCCAGTTCCGACTTGAGCAGCAGCGGAGACAGGTACCTGTCGGACAAAGCCGTTGTGATGAAGCGTGATATCGGGTACTCATACGTGTTGTGAACCGATACAGGCAGCCCGTAGAACCTAGCATCGGCACGGTTTCAAGTGGCGCTGATCGATCATGAGCCGTTTAAACTCGTACTCAAATTGGGTGCACATAAGTCTCGCATTCAACATACCCCTTACATTCTGCTATAAACTCATATTCCTGATGTTCGTACTACCACCTTACGGCCATTTTCATTTTTCAAGGTCTGTTCCGTACCTGTTGACGACGTCTCCGGCCGTCGTGCCTTCTTTCAGTGGCACGTCGTTCCAATGCTTGTCGAACTGGGGAGCCCTGATCTGGATCTTACACCCGTGCAGCTCCTTCTCGTTCTCGATCTTGGGCGCCACAGGTGATTCCTTCTTCCTCAGAAGTTTCTTCACCTGACGTTCAGAAGAAGAACGTTAGAATGTAGCATTCACTTTATGATTTAGTTAGCAGTAAATCAGGATGTTCCCAGCCTTTTTTACGGATCGCTACAATGTCTGACCTCTTGTCTTATCCAGTCACCTCATTGTCTTACACGTTTCCATCGCATATGCTTCTAAGAGCGCGATGTGCATACGTTCCAAATAACTAAATACTTGTCATTTTATAATATCCTTGCACGTCAAACAGCAATAAACTTCCTAGCCAGACAAAGTGACAAAAATAAAGACCTCTTTTGCTCAAGCAAAAGAGGTCTCCAATGAGCAAAGTGCAATGAGAACGTTACACGCGCCGTTTGCCAGGAAGTGTTTAGCCTTACCTGCCGAGAATGGTCTTTCTTCGCCTTCAGCTGCTGTTCCGCTTCATGCTGTTGGCGCACCTGGCCGATGAACTTTGGCAGCACCTCCCACAGGCCGTCACGGTGTCGGACCATGTTTCTCACTACTCGCGATGTCACGGCCGCATACTCGATCTGTCGGGCCGGTAAGAAACGTTATGCTTACAAGTGCGTGGTACACTGGATGCTCAATGCTCCAACTGATGTGCGACAAGCTGCCATGCGAAAACAAAACAAAGACACACTTGGACAATAAGCAGTGGTGAAAAGAAATTGAGTGGGAAGTTGATGATGCAGAGCAATTATGATGCCACAGTGCGACAACATTCGTTCTGATGAGAGTTACATAATTAGTCGAAGAAGCATTTATCCAGATCAGGAGCCTCACCTCTACAGATATGTCCTTCTGCCGTCGCTGTGCCGGCCACATCAGGTTGGGCGCCATGATCATGGCCACATTTTCCAGCGTCATCTTGTTGGCCGTCTCGCGCGTCGCCACCGCTGCCAGGAAGTCGAGCAGTCGCCGCAGCACGGCCCTGTTGGTCTCGGGCAGCTGGAGACAGAGGAGGTTCAGCGCGCCCACCTGCTGACCCACCGGCAGTGCGTCCGTCTGGTGGAACGCGTCCATCAGCTCGCGGGTCAGCAGCGGCGCTGGCAGCTCGCGCAGGAACAGCTTCACCAGCGCGGCCACGTCGTTGGCGCTGCTGTTGCGGAGCGCCTCATCCACGTCTCCGGGCCGGCTGTAGAAACGCTCGTCGACGGTGCGCCGCAGCTGGTCCACCTTCTGTTGGTGACCGGGCACGCGCAGCAGACCCTCCTCGTGCAGACAGCGCTGCTCCAGATGAGTAAGCACGCGCTCCAGCAGCAGCGGCACCGTGGCGTCCGGCTGCCGCCGCCGGTCGCGCTCCATCAGCGTGGTCAGGGCGCACCCGAATACCGCGCTCTCGGCCACACTGGGACGCGTCCGCAGACGGCGCTTCCGGGCCTTCCGG